GAAACGTCGTTCGTGTTTGATACACGCGAATGATTCTTGTTTGTTCGATTTTCGTTATTCGTGGTGGAAAATGGGACGCGGGGAAATGAATTTGATTGGACGTTGCAAAGCAGGGGGTGAACTTTGACGGTCAAGCGGCGTCAGTCCCTGGGGACTGACGGTAGACTTTTCGTTTGGGCGGCGTGGATTCTAGGGACTGACAGCGAACTTCTCGTTTGGTCGACATCGGTGCACGAGACCAGCATTTCAAAGGGTTAAATTATTAATGACAATTAAAAAATTTACGTTAAAATTTAGCGTACTCCCGTGGCTTTTTCAGACCGATCGTTTCTTGGTGTTCGCACTTTTGTCTCTCTGGCATTCCCCAGCCCATTATCTTATGTTTATACATTGTATACATGTGCATCGCCTGCACCATTGTCGCATGGTGCCAAACGGCAAAAGAAACAGTGAAAAAAAGGAATCGTCTGTCGCGCTGTGTCGCGCGGTCTAGTTTAGCGTTCGGCATCGAATGCTCGCGCGCTGCCGCCTGAGTGGAAAGTATAGCAAAATCGGCGCCGCACCGAACGTGTTAACCAATCAGTCGATGAAAGAATAAAGCAAGTTGCACGGTAATCGACGAGATCGGGCCTCGAAGTGGATTCGAGCGTTTCCGCGTCGAAATTTTGCGGAGTCGATCGTTGCACGATTGTTTCTTTTTGCAGAAGTGTCTTGTACATTTCGTTCTCGTCCTCCTCGGTTTCGAGGTTCTACAATCGTACGATTTCTATTGCAATATTCCTTTTTGTGTAACCGTTGATGGCCAACCGACTGTAATTCCGCGTTTTATGCTTACGTACGAAACGGTAAACGATGGGTTAAAAAGTCTTTCCGTTTTGTTGCGTTGCGTTGCGACGCGACATTGCGGCACACGGGTAAATATTGTGAACGGACAAAGAGGTAGCCGCTGTCGAGAGGTAAAGTTGTCGAATCGAGTGGACACCGAACAGCTTGATAAACACGGACTCTTTGCGGTCGAATATCTCCGGACATTTCCCGACAATGTTTTCCCGTTACGTCTCGCTTCGCGCGTTACCCGATTTTTCAGGCAATTTCGATCGAGTGCGCTCTTAATCCACTCGAGACCGTGTGTTTCTTCAACCGTTTGCACCGTAATGGTCGCTCTAATTGAAAGTGGCTGCTCGATCGAATATAATACATAGGAAATTGTAAAATTTAACTCTGCGATCGAATATCTCCGGACATTTCTCTACAATGTTTTCCGCTACGTCTCGCTTCGCGCGTTACCCGATTTTTCAGGCAATAATTGATCAAGCGCGCTCTTAATCCATTCGAGACCGTGTTTTTCTTGAACCGTTTGCACCGTAATGGTCGCTCTAATTGAAAGTGGCTGCTCGATCGAATATAATACATTGGAAATTATAAAATTCAACCTTCCGCGGAGGAATGTCGACAGTTTCGTATTCGCGAGACTAAGGAACAAATAGTTTAAACCACTGATACATATTTTAACTTGATCCGCTGCAAGTTTCAGCGGACAACCACGAGAAAAAAGGCGAAACTGTTCCAACCGATGTATTATTCAGTGAAAATTTCCTTGCGTTCGCGTTAATCGATTACTCAATGGTGTCATTGAAGGTTCTACAATCTGCTCGTAGTTCGTTCGAGTCTCGGCGTCCAGCAGCAATGTTTAAATCATTCAGCGTCGAATTAACGCGTTCCATTACGAGGCGAGCTGCGCGAAACGTTCAAGGAATTACGTGATTTTTTATCAGATCGAAGAACAAGCGTAACCTTCGCGTGTTCTCCGCGTGTTTCGCTACGATAAGATTGCTTTCGAGTACTCCTCGATATCGTCGTCGATTTCTGTTCGGGAGGATCGACTCGATCGTATCGCGCTGCACGTCACACGACGCCGAAATAGATCGGTAATAATAATACATGTAATAATAATGATGACGCACGATACGATCGACGTTTCGCAATCCCATTATTTCGCTTAATCAATTACGCGGCGTCCATTGTTCCCGATGATTCCGCCCCGCCGTTTTGTAATCTTCCGTAACGCGGTTTTCACGGAAACATTGTTTTGCCATTTGAAACCGTTACTTTCCCACCGACCCGATAGCTTGCGCGGTGCACGGAGCTGTCCCGTTCGAAGCTGTTAATGCAAAATACTCGGCAGAACGCGCTAAACGGGGGAGAATTCGGTTCGAACTCGTCGCGAATTTCTGTCGCATTGCGCACAGTGCTTTTTTGCGTGGAACAATACCGAGGAATAAGAGTCGTTCTGCTGTACCGCTCCGTGCACTATTCCGTCCGAGAAATTGCGCGGTGAGACGACGAAACTGGTGAATTTTAAGTAACTTCGAACGATTAAGGATAATATTGACGATACTGTCATTTCGTCGGTCAAGACGCGAGATAACTGTTTATCTGTGTTACGTGGGAACCTCGCCTGCGTTTCCACCTTGGAGAAATGTTATGAAATAGTAAACAAAAGGTCGATGCACGAGGAAAAGGATCAATACACATTGATAAGGAAATCGTGCGTCTGAGGAAAAATAAACAAAATGTGGTGTCATTTGGGAAAGATCCATTTGCGAGGTCCTTTCGTTCTGTGTACAGTTGGTTAGTAGTGAGGCAATTCCACGGGACTAAGGTCGATATCATTATATATATAATATGTCGCGAACATAGATGCAAATGACCATATTCTTAGCATTGCAAATGAAACAATATAATAATTTGATCCTGAAGCATGAGATCCCAATCGAGCTCCTCAAGAATCAACCGATCAACACATTGAACGCCGGCTGAATTTCAGCTACTAAAAACGCGAGCGTCGTTGATTATATCGATACATATCTAAAGATCGATTAAACGAAAATTCCTACCTTACGGAAGAGAATAAGTAATTCGATTTTGTAATTTTCACTTTGTGTCGTACATATCTAAAATGTTACATGAACGTAGAATTAGCAATTAAACGATGGACTCAATGTGTTACGAAAAATAAGAATCGCGTTTGTCGTCCAGTGAACGTCATCGCGAGAATCAGTCGATGAAACGATGAAACTGGAATGCCAGTCGACGAGATCGAACTTCGAACTTCGAATTCGGAATCGATCGCCGCGATCGGCACAATTATTTCGGACCGTCGGATTATTCGGGCGTAACGCGTTATCGAATGATTGGTATGCGCAGCGCGCAGCGTCGGCATTTAAGTGTCTGCCTCCCGATGCAACGATCGAATCGGCCGCGCGGAATGAAATTGATAGTTTCTTTTCCTGTTCGCGTGTCCGGCCGTAACACGCGAATATTGTTCCCGGCGCGCGTAACACGCCCGAGACGTAATGTATAAATTATGGAGAGCCGCTCGCGCAAGGACGGATTATGAGAGAGACGCTGGCGGAAGAAGAAACCGGATTGTTAATTGTACAGACGTGGACGTGGAAGACAATCCGAGAACGCAAGTACGGGGCCTCTAGCATTGAAAGTCCTCGCGCGTGCAGCGTGCAGCGTGCAGCGTGCAGCGTGCGACGCGCGGTTGTGTGCTCTGTGTGTACTCTATTGCCGCGACCATTTCAAACGCCCGCATTTTTGCATTCTGATCGCCTTGTTTGGCCGCGGCGAGCGATCAAACCTCCTCAGCGACGGGATATCGGAGCATTAATTAACGCTGGAATTAGATCGTTCGATACGATTAACATGTGATCCTCGATGAAATTGAAATTATATTTTATCCGGTTCCTCGGTATAAGTGAAACTGTCGACTTTTCAGGTCATTTCGCATGCATAACGCTTAGTGTATTGATAATTGCGAAATAAGCGTTCGTCGGTTTGATAGGAATAACGCTAGAACTACCGTAAATAGTTCCACTTGGATACTAGAATGATTAACTCTTCGCCGTACAATAACGAGTGAGACTCGCGATGATTTCTAGACTAATTTAACAAGAATCGATGTGATTCGTTACCCACGGATCAAAGCAAACAACTATTTTGCTATCATTGTATTATCTTCGAATAAAATTTCCACTTGTAGAATGGACAATTTTGTTGCATTTCTTCCAAATTGTCGATAGTAAAATGGTACATGAGCTTAGTGAAAGTAAATAGTACGCCAAGGGGTTAAGGTAATTCCGGAGATGGTCCGATCTCGTTTAGATTCTTAGATATCTGTATCTCCGATCGCTTTTGATGTTGGCGAATCAGGAAATTTTTCTCTTTTGTATTCACTTTCATAAATATTTATGTTTTATTATATAACAGATAATTTTATTAGATGTAGATTTATTTGAAATCTAAGTCTTGCTAACTCGTTTCATTGCGATGTATAAGAGAAATGAGATTTCAGATTAATGTAGAAAATTTCAGTTGTAACATAACAAGGTTTATTATTGCACGATCGCGACTCAAGTTCAGTCGCGCAGAATGAATTCTTAATAAACAAGAATTCGGCCTAATTCGCCCAATTCTCGTTCGCTCTTTGTCGTCCGCCCACGACCACTCCGACGACAAATATGTCTTAATTAAGCAACTGGAGCATGGCGAAGGCGTTCTAGACCGACGACAAGTAACGTTTGTTCAGAAGAAACATACTCTATTCGTGTAAATGAACGCTCCAGTTTGTTTTAATTTCGTCGGGCGTTGTTGTTGCTCGGGCAGCGGTCTCTGTGCGCTTGGCGAATATTCAAATTCGACGGAATTCAGAAACTAACGAGTTTGAAAGGATTTAATGACATCATCGTTGTTGAAATACACTTGTAAATTGCGTTGGATAAATACTCGTTTCTAATCAACCGAGCGAACGCTTGTTGTTGGAATAATCAATGTGGACAGCGATTGTTCGTTATTTACGATGAAATTAATGTGATAAATATTTATGTCGAAGTACGAATGATTTATCATTACTTGAGAATGCAAATCGTTTTGGACGAGCATTCGTTTAATCAGTTTTATTCGGTTCAATTATTCTTATTCCATTAAATAATTGTTATCCAACTTAATTGTTCTTAAACTATTCAGTTATTTTTATTCAATTTAATTAGTATTATTTAATTTATTTATTCTTATTCGATTCAATTATGTTTATCCAATTGAATTATTCTCATTGAATTTAATCGTCGTTATTCGACAGGGGTTGCTCGTTCGTTAGCGCCAAACGTAATTTCACTTGTCATTATCTCTCGTCTCTGTTATCCGAGCGAAGTTTTGGTTTCTGTAAGCTAGTCTGCAAATATTTATACCAGTATGAACGTCTGCAGTACGGCTATTATCGCGGTGGATTCAAGTGGCACCGCGTAATCTCGCGGACAGAGAAATTCGTTAATTCGTAAGTAAATACGGCAGAATTTCTCCCGCTTAAGTTAATCCATTAAGATCACGTAATGAGCCTGACTCACGGGTATTTAAATACGGAAGCAGTGAGTCAGATTCGTCGAGACTACCCCACCGCGAGTGTATTCGTTGAAATTATTCATGATTGTCAGTTACGTTTCGAACGGAATCAATGATGAAGGACTTTATATCGGCGAGAATTAATTTTATCTTCGATTAGCGAAGAATGAAACGAAATATTTCTTTTTATTGATCTTTATTATAACGTCGCTTACATATCCCAGTAATGAAGAGTGACAGAAAAGAAGAATAAATTTACAAAATATTTGGTTTTAAATATTTTGTAATTTATCCGTTTTTTGTCTATTAACCCTTAGCACTCCAGGTTGTTTTGGAATCGATCAGCAACCGCAACTAATTTTTATAGTATTCCTAGCGAAAATGAGAAATGCTATAATATTTCTTCGGCCTTTTATTTTCCTTCTTAGTACAAAATTTGGATGTGTGGAAAATTGAATAGTTTTAGGGTAGTTTCTTTAAGATTCATTAAAATGTTTAATATCATAACTGGTACAATGTTGGAGCCTACGGAGTTCAAAGGGTTAAAGCGGATAGCAACGTGTGACCCGGATGCTGCGTCAATTCTAATCCATATTTTAGTTTTCCAGTGATAGTTTCTTTTCGGGGGTTGCTTAAGTGTGCGCGCCGCCCCATTTCCCGACACTAACAGAACATTTTCTATGGTTGCAGGCGGAAGATAAGCGGACGGAACCAAAATGGCGTGCGCGTCGCAGTGTGCCAAGTATTTCCTGTGTTTCTTTAATTTCGTTTTCTTCGTAAGTATGCGTGAAACGTACACACGAAAGTGTTTTAGTCGTTCCCCTTCGCCCCGCGCGCCGAGGAGAAACCGTGCTTCTACTCATATCGGTAGAACGGACACGGTGTGGATTATATAGCCTGCAATTTTCATTTAAAACCTGGATTCCGGCTTGCACCGCGACACCGTCGGAATAACAGTTGCAAATGATTTTCAATTAGAAACACAAATTAATGGATTATTGAGCAATTAATATTGCTCGATAAGCAAGTAATATTGATTAATTGCTTAATAATCATACTGACGATGATTAACGCGAACAAACGATTTAATTAGCCAAACAGAAAGAGATCAGACCGTAGTTTCCTCTTCTTCTATTAATTAAGCAATTGATATGTAATTTATCTTCATACGTCAAAGGTTTCGCATGTTTCGAAGAATTTTCGTCCGCACAGGGTTAATACCCGTTCGAATTGTCCTCGGCAATCATCTTTCGATTGCTCGCATAATTCGACCGCACCCTGCACAGTTAGCCGCAGTTAACGAAGGGTAGTTGACGCGAGGTCGGCGGCAAAAGATCTAGAATGGATCTTAGAAGGGTGCCCCTAATTGTCCGTGGGAAAAGCCCATCAATTAACCGTGGGACGGTCTATCCGACTGTGGCGGTTGAAACGATCGCCGGACAAAGACATTTTGAGGATCAATTTCATAGAAAACCCTCGTTCGCATTTAACGCCACATTCACGAACGTTTAATTACACTTTATTCTATCGTCCCTAGAAGACTACGTGCTCCTTCATACAGGCCGCGGAAATTAGTGTCTCAAGAACAGAGAATTCTAATTTGAATTTGCATAGCTGCATCGATCAAAATCGACCGACATTCGAAATATTTAAAATATCCGATTTCCGTGCAATCGAGGCGTTTCTAGTGTTAATTCGAAATGAATGTTAGAAGTAATATTCAACGGAGAAAATAGAAATTTCCATTCGTCACGGGCAGTACGATGATAATGAGTATAACGTACAAAAAGTAACAGCAATTCGACGAACGAAACTTTTATGCGAGCAGAGGTATGAACGAAAGTTAAACGACATTTCTTTCCTGTTCCTTTCGATTGGTAGCTACGAATTCGATTATCCGTATTAGCATCGGGGTTTCTCCTCCGTCGCCGAACGATTAATCGGCTAATAAAGGAACGCATCGAGAAGATAAAAGGAGAGGCTGAACACGTTTGTTTTTCAGGTGGCCGGAGGAGCTGCGTTGGCCGTTGGAATCTGGCTGTTTGCCGACAGCAATTCTTTCGCGGAACTCATAGGCAAGCTCGACCAGTCGGCGGATATTTTGGTAAATTTCCGAATCCGCTTTCCCGAGACAATGTTCCGATTTCCTGCGCCCGCGACTCGGACGGGAACTTTCGAATCGATCGTGCAGAGTTCTCGCGTTGCTCGATCGCGTTCGAGGCTTTTCAGCTTGGAAATTAGTCGGTGAACCGATGCGTTTCGGTCGTTAAGAGGAAACCGCGGAGGAGCTATTCGAACGATTCGAATGAACAGTTCGCTTCCTCTTAACCTCTTAGGCACCACGCGCCACTATAGTGGCTCCGTCGCTACCAATATGTCATATATTATACCCAATTGTATTACTAATTATTGTTGTAAACTGTTAGAGTTAAATTATGTGTATCATATCTTTCAGAAAAATTATAATTTAATCAACGAGAACTTCGTTCCAATGTACTCGCGCAGAGAACAGCATTGTCCGTACAGAACTCTGCCGTACAAAGTGAATCGCTTTCTACGAAAAGTGGGAACGATTTCGCGGATTAACACTTTGAATGCCACGAGGGTCACCAGTGACCACCAAGCAAAACGATGATTATTCGCAAACATTTCTATATTATAAATAGTGCTATCCATTGCGGTGACGTTCAGTTCGATGAACGTGCAACGATAATAATCCAATTTAATCAAATGATTGAATATTGTACTTCTTCCATTTTGTGTATTTTGCTCAATGAAATCGTGCGGCGTTCAACGTGTTAAACGTGTTAAAGTTGAAGGAATCGTTGGAGGCGAAAGGGCGATGTTGACAGCGAAGAAAGTGGAAAGATCGATTCGGAATTCCTTTGTTCCAGAGCAAAACGGATGCAGACGTGGTCAGAGTGATATCGTATATTCTGATCGTGGTCGGTGCACTGACTTTTCTAATTAGCTTCCTGGGCTACTGCGGAGCGATGTTCGAGTCGCGATGTCTTCTCTGCGTGGTGAGTGCTAATGACGTTGTCCTCAAAGTTAATTAACGCCTCGCGCCGCGAAACTCATTTCGTTTCTATTGCAGTACGGTATCCTCATTCTGCTGGTTCTGGTCCTCGAATGCGTCATAGTGGGCCTAGCTTTTGGACTGAAGGGGGACGTAAGTCACTTTTCCTCGAACTTTCTCCGTACGGTAGTTCTCGCTTAACGCGTTCAGTGCGGCGCCGATTTTGCTATACTTTCCGCTCAGGCGGCAGCGCGCGAGCATTCGATGCCGAACGCTAAACTGGACCGCGCGACACAGCGCGACAGACGATTCCTTTTCTTCACTGTTTCTTTTGCCGTTTGGCACCATGCGACAATGGTGCAGGCGATGCACATGTATACAATGTATAAACATAAGATAATGGGCTGGGGAATGCCAGAGAGACAAAAGTGCGAACACCAAGAAACGATCAGTCTGAAAAAGCCACGGGAGTACGCTAAATTTTAACGTAAATTTTTTAATTGTCATTAATAATTTAACCCTTTGAAATGCCGGTCTCGTGCACCGATGTCGACCAAACGAGAAGTTCGCCGTCAGTCCCTAGAATCCACGCCGCTTGAACGGAAAGTTCACTGTCAGTCCCTAGGGACTGACGTAGCACTCAACGTGTTAAATCCCACCACCTCGGGACGCGGCAGTGGAATTTAACCGAGCAGAAGAAACGGGAGGAAGCTGTCTGCTCCCAGGAATTGACTGGAGCACAGCCTGACAGACGGAGAATCGATATAGAGAGTGGAAGCTGGATGACACCGTGAAAACCGAGGGTCGAGACGCGGGACTTCAAAGCGGTCGCGCGCATCTGTTTATCAAACAAAAACAATGAAAATTCCAATTGCAGTCGTTTTGACCTTATCCTCTCAAATGTAGTGGTAATGACTTTCTGAGATTGTTGTGATTAAAATGAGCCCAAACACGACGGGAATCGGACGAGTTTTACCGACTCGATGTAATTAACGTAATTAAAGGTTCATTTGCACCGAATGGATGAAACTAGACCGATTCGCGTCGTGTTTGGACTCGTTTTAATGAGGAGAATCTGGACGTTCCATCGGTACTACGATCGAGAAGGCAAAATTATTGCAATTGAAATGTTTGAATGTTTATATTTGACTCGTGCAGTATCTTTAACCTCTGTCTCTGTTTCCCTCGTTGTATTCATTTTTTATTGTCTATTGGGATCACGTTACTCTGAGCTGGAGACAGAGTGGAATTTAGCCGAGCGGATTCTGTGCAATTTAAGCGAGCATCGCTGTATTTGTGAACGATAAAGATTCATTTTGATAATTTGTTTATTGGCATTGTTTCAGGCAGAGAAGAGCACGCAAGACTTCCTCAAGTCCACGATCAAGTATTATGCCAGCAACATTGACAAAACAGAAACAATTACAGTTGCTTGGGATGGCCTAATGAGTCAGGTTATTAAGGATTTTATTGATCGATTAATCGAGCACGCGTGTAGGAGGAACGAAATGCATGACGGGTCCTCCGTGAAGACCCGTGAACGTGATTCGATTAACAAGCTCCAAGCTTTCAGTTCGTTCACGCGAAACTCCTGAATTTGTAAGCCTTTCAAACTACCGAACCTGTACACCACGAGTGCTTTCTTTCAATTTGAACAATTCCTCAGAGAGAACGGCGCTTCGATAACGTGCAACCGGTACCTGGAAGCAGAGAGCAACAAAGTCAATGCCACGAATATCCGTCGGTGAAAAATGACAGTAGCGCTAGGTACTTGCGTATGGGTGAGATTTTCTTGGTGGAAATTAGATAAAACGCAACACGATTTGGCCATTAAGTTGATTTCAATTTATGCAGTTTTTTTGTTCAAATCAGTAACGAGTTTCCCCCCTAAAAAAAGGAATTGTATTAATAACGTTTTTGGAATATTGTAACCTTTTAAATTATCGCTTTACCATGATTTTTGAGTATCTTAGAAAATCTTTCCTTTATGTGCCTTTTTTCATTGCCCCGATCGTTTTGCCATTACTTTGTCGCAATTTCGTTGCGTGACTTTCGTTACTCTTCACTATTTTCATTTTCTACATCAAAGTTCACGCGTAATCGTAGTCGTTGCATTTGCTTTAGAAATGAACAGGAGATATTCTGTTTCGCTTAGCGTGAGGCAATAGTCTTGTAACATATTCCCAAATAATTGCTACCTCGGAATCGCTTACAAGTTTAGGGGTATTGTTGCATGAATGACTTGTTTGTTCGTTGGTTGAAAAGCAACGCTGTGTTTTATATTTTTAGCTACATTGTTGCGGAGTAGAGAATTACCTGGATTTCCGAGAGAGTAAAAACTGGACGTCCACGGACAAAGTTGTTCCTGAAGCGTGTTGTATAAAGGAGAATAATGTTCTGAAGGATCCTTCCTGCCCTATCAGCCCCACTTCCAGTAATTCTTATTACAAAGAGGTCAGCCTTCATAGACTATCTTTTATAAAGACTCAAAATAACATTGAGCATTATTAACACCTTGCTGACCGGTGAATTTGTTTACAACATCTTTCAACGTTAGTATACATACTTTAATCGCATATAATATGCTAAAATGATTGAAATGTATTTAACTCTCTATGGGCCGAATTTTTCTTCGTGATTATCATAAAACCTGTGCAGTGGAAAATTAATAAATATCCACATATGCATACGAATTAACAATGTATTCAATAGTTTCAATAATTCCATCAAACAAATATATTTTGTATGACAAACTTCCACGCCTGGGCATATAAAAGTTGAAGTTAACTGATTACTTAATTTCATTCACCACTTTGAGTGGAAAATAAAATAAAGGTTACATGGGCCTACAGAGGGTTAAACTAATGAATACAATCTAGAATGCACTCACACACATCTAGATTGTTTTCGGATAGAAATTAGCAAGGTGACCAGTAATCGGTGACCGGTCAGCAAGGTGTTAGGAGTTTACGAATATTCGTTTAACCGCATTGTAAAATTGTAGGGCTGCTACGATGCAATAATGAAGACAATTACAGACAACGCAGCGATAGTAATCGGTGTGGCAGCAGGTCTGGCGTTTGTTGAAATCCTGGTGATTATTTTAGCCGTGCACCTGGCTTGCTGTTATTGGCGGCCACAACATGGTAGGCTTCCACTTCTCACTTAGTGCCTTCCAATCGGTAAAAAGAGTTTCTCGTTGGCATATTTGAGCAGTACGTTCAAATCCCTCATCAGAAAAATGGGGAACGACCAAAGCAAACTTTTTTCTCTAGTGGCTGATGACGTCTTCTAGAAAATGTAGAAAAACTTCTCCGAGAAATTTGATAAAAACATTCTTTTAGCTTGCATCGACGTGTCGTCGTCGAGACAGGCCTGGTGAACAGCGACGAAGATGGTGTTTGCTTTTTCAAGTAAGGTTTCGAAGGTGTTGCGCGTTTCACATTTCAATCCTTTTTTTTTTCATTTCACGTAGACCTTGCATGAAAACCTCGGACTAATGATATACAATCTTACATTGTTCAATGCGCATTGACAACATTCAGATCCGATTATACACGATTACTAGTTAGAATATTTTTTAAATGAAATCATTTTAACAAACAAAACTGTTTCGTATCTTGATACTCATCAATGGTAAATGTAAATGACCTGGGGAGAAAAGGGATTAACCTTCGTACTATTTTTAATAAACTTTGACATTTACATGAGAACTTTGTAATAGATGTCTGTGTTAATTATTCTATTTGATTATCTTTGCATATGTTCAATTGATTAAAGGATACTGGAAATTAAACTTACATTGTTACGAAGGTAATGTTTTTTGTTAATTTGCAATATTTATAATATCGATTAATATATGAACCATCGATGAGCCACGTTGTCTGTTCAAGAAGTCGTGTCTGGGCACAAAACATGTTAATTGAAGCATGTCTCCTTGAAGTAGTATAACTTTGATTTAATACATTGTTTTCAGTAGGAAAATTTCTCTCATAAACCAGTAAAAGGACTAACACGGAGCACAAATTTTCAATACTCTCTGCGAAAGATTTCAGAAAGAGTTTTACGAATATAACTAATCGTGATAAATCGGAATGTTAATTCTCAAAATTGTATCAATTCATACCGCGCATCCAAAACATTTTCGTTTACAGTTTTAACTTGTTGGTGCTGCTGTTGACCAGATATACTAACAACGAACTCTTCACACCGTCTTGGCATCTTTCTTCATAGAAGTGAATCATTGGTTTACGCTTGCTTGAAACTAGCCCAGGATGTATATTCATCATTTACTATTCGTACTCTAATTTACTGTCGTTATAACTACTTTTAAAGAAATGTTAATGTAGTCGAGAATTTCTTGTTTAATTTTATTTCTATTATAGAGAAATAATTCAGACGTCTTTGTTATTATTTAATATTTTCTTTTTTACTTTTTTCAAAGTAATAACCAAGATGTTTGACAAAGATTAAAAAACAAAAAAAAATGAAAAGAAATGAGTGGTTTTGTTGGATTAAAATTATTTAGGAATTAAATTAACTTCAAAACGAGAAACAATTTACTTCGTCCTATGAACCAGTACAAAACCAACTAAGGAAAATTAAGACTTAATGAGCAAAGCAATATTGTTGGCGTTAAACCACTTTGTATATATTTAAAGTAGTTAAAGCGTAAATATAATTAAGTAATTGAAATATATTAAAACAAAATATATATTATACTGCATTATTTTATTACGATTTATTTAGTATATTATATTAGTGTGCATAGATAGCCTGTAGTCAACTTTTTGTACAATTGAAAATTATATATGAACTATTTACTTGTACTCTTTTCCAAAGTGAAAGAAGATAAAAATTTTGTATTATTTCTAAAAAAAAGGAATGTTCTTTCTAACCCCTTTCAATTATTTTAGGAAATATATTCAATCATATAAAATACGTTTTACGACTAATAACTCTATATCTTAAGTAATATAAAGAAACTTTAGTGATAACATTAGGATAATAAAATAATACGATTTTATGGTATAAACTATACTTTTAGTTTTTTATTTTATGATACAATATTTTTTGTAGTGTAAAATCTTTGTCATTATTGTTATTATTAGTAATAGTAGTAGCAGTAGCAGTAGCAGTAGTAGTAGTAATAGTAGTAGTAGCAGTAGTAGTAGTAGCAGTAGTAGTCGTAATAGTAGTAGTAGTAATATTGCTAAAGAAAAATTAATTATCGAACGAAAAGTATGTATCAAAAAGCCAATTTTGAAATAAGGAAAATAAAATAAATAACAAATCTAATTTCATATTCAATATGATATACATAAATAATACATTATTACGAACGCGCTCTGAACGAATTATGTTTGTCGACATTAACCATTTTGCTAAAGTAAAATTTCCTTACTTACTTATGAGTTTAACGTTCAAAAAGTTACATTGTTTGCTTTTATTTTATAACATCTACAATATCATTTCAAGTGTAGTTATAGAATTTATTTACTTTACACCTCACCTAGTATCACAGTTGTTACTTATAATACAAAAATATTTTCTAGTTTATCATAGATATAAATTGCTGGAATTCATTGAATTAAAAAATTTTGGTCGTAAGCATTCAAAAGAATAAAATTAAACGCGTGAAATCGTGATCAAGAAGATAAAAATAAAGAAGATCAATTACATGACGACATGTAATTAAATGAATGCCTACATGTCTAATAAATTTTAAAATATCTATTTACTCGTGTAATGTAAAATTTGTACTCTGAAAAAATATACATCATAAGATTTCTTGCGATCATTCTAATGTTAAAGTAAAGTGCGCAATAAGTGTACGCGAATAATATTCGATAATCGAAGGATAGATGGATTACTTTAAATGTAAATTTATTAATTGCATAAATTACAGTTTCAACGAATCCATCGATCCTTCTATCCTTCAATTGTCCTTCGATTATCCTTAAACGCTATTCCTGTTATGTGTACAAGTCGTTATAAACAAACTGTTAGCTAAACTACTTTTTACAACTGTAATGTTCACAATCTGGTTTCGCGTAGAACATTTTTCTTTGAATTTTCTCTCCTAAAATTCCCCAGATTAGTCCGTAAAATCTAACTTACGAAACGGACATTATTGCGATTCAACTCAGTTGATCCATGTTGTCTGATTTGGTAGACAAAGGGGACTAGGAGAGTAAAGTAGGTCCTATTGAGGTGGGCCACCCATTATTCCCATTGGTGGCATACCCTGAATTCCATATGGACCCTGCGGAGGACCTTGGTTTCCAGCCATAGGAGAATGTAACTGCATTGCAGGACTTTGGATCTGTTGAGTCGGGGTTACCTGTCCACCTGCTGGTGACGGAACCACCTACAAAAATCAATTTATCATTATACGCTCGACATCTTTATTTATTATTATTTTTTAAAGCTATTTATATGTTAGTAGTCTTGATGCTTTCACGACCTAGAATATTATTACATTCATTTTTGGCTTTCGGGTGAGATCCGTGTCCAATAGGAATATTTTCCCAACGTTTCACCGGCATT